GTTACAAGCAAAGACCTCAAAGAGGTGAGGGATCTGTGGGCATTTGGGGGAAGAGAGTTCCAGGTGGCCACAACAGCAAATGAAAGGCCCCGAGGCCACAGCACGCTTGGTGAGTCCCGAAAAAGCCAGGAGACCGTGTGGCTGGAGCTGGGGCAGGGAGGTGACTGGGTACATCTGGACTTGTGGGCCACATGTTGAGGACCTTGACTTTTCCTCTGAGCAAAATGAGAGCCAACGAGGAGGGGCACGACTTGATGTGGCTTCTAAACAGGCCCCCACGGGCTCAGAGTTTGGTAGCATCGATGAGGCCTGAACCGAGTGCCAGGCGCTGTGGTGTCCAATACGGTTTGACCTCATTTCATGATAGGGATGATCCTTCCGTTTCACAGAAGAGAAACCGAGGCTCAGAGGGTTTAAGTCACTGACCCACGGCCGCACAGCAACCACTCTCGGCGCCTGGGTGGAAAGGTAAAGCGCAGCAGCCTCTCCCTCCCCCGAGCTGTCGGACGGAAACCGGCGGCGCAGAGCGCACCCATCTCGGGGAGCTGCGTCTGTGTCCCTGTCTGTCTGCTGCTATTTCCACACGTCTCTGTCTGTCTCCACGCGCCTCTGCCTGTGCGTCCCCCATCTGTGCCCGCGCCGCCGTCTCTCCGCGCTCGGCCCCCGCACAGGAGAGCTATTTCGGGTTTCGGCATAAAAGCCCAACAGCTCGAAGGAGACGCTTCCTCCGGCCCCCGGCTCGGACCACGCGCCACACGCGGCCAGCTCGGGGAGCTCCCAGTCTTTTCTGCGGGATCCCCGAGCCGGGGAAGCCCCCGCGGGAGGGGGGCTGGGGGTGGGGCGACCCGGGCCCGGAGCCTCCCGGCCCCCCAGCGGCCAACCCGGGCATCGACGCCGTCCGGAGCCCAGCCGTGCGTCAGCGGTCGCCTTGGCAACGCGAGGGCGACGTCACCCCCGGCCGTGCGTCAGCCGCCCGTTGACGTCACGCCCCAGGAGAGGCCACAGGCGAGGGGCGGGGCAGCTTTCAGGCCCGGCCGGCAGGGGGAGCCCCGGAGAGCTAATGGCGGATGCCTTCGCTGGGTCCTGCAGGAGGCGGAGGCCCTGCAGGCATGGCCCCCGCGGTCCCCTGGGGTGGCGGGACGCAGAGGAACCGCAGCGTCCTGTCGGTGGCCGGGACCGAGGACGCGGGGCGAGGGGCGGGGCCTGGGCTGGGGGCGGGGCCTAGGCCGCCGGGGAGATGGGCGCCCCCTGGCGACTGCGGCTGTTTTCTGAGCGTGGCTTCACCCCCTAGAGGCCGCAGGAGTCCGCTTCCCCCGTGCCTCAGTTTACCCTCTCGGTTTCATTTTTCATCTGCTGCCCAGATTACGAGGCTCTTAGCCCAGGCGCTTCTCAAATGCGGAGAGGGTTTTGGCGAGGAGAGGGGAGAGCTGGGGACGTGGCCTTGAGGGTGTCAGCTATGAAGGGGAGGGGTCTCTAGGACAGGGTGGGAAGAGACCCTACAAAGGTGATGGTTAGGGGGAGCTCACACGTGAGACAGAATGCAGAGATGTGAGGGTCCAGACCCCAGGGCTGTGACATTGAGAGCGAGCCCAAAAGATGGCTGGGAAGGAGAACTCCTTGACCTAAGGGGTGACAGGGCACCCTCAGTGGGGGGGACACACAGAGCCTAAGCCCCCATCAGCTATTCCTCACATGGCTAGGGAGGGGCGTTTGGGGGGCGTGGCTCGAAATTCCACTGTGTCCCTCCTCAGAGGCCCAGGGAGACCCCGGAGCCCGGCCGTGCCACCATGCTGGGGGCGGACCTCCGTCGCCCTCGCCGCCGCCTCTCGTCCGGTCCGGGACTGGGCTGGGCCCAGCCTGAGCCCTCGGATCCTGGGGTCCCCCTGCCACCACGGCCCACCACACTGCCGCTGCTGATCCCGCCGCGGATTTCCATCACCAGGGCGGAGGCCGGCAGGTAGGCAGGAGCGGGGGCAGGGTGGGAGGCGAGTGGGGGTACAGGTCAGCTGGACTGGGTCCAGCTCCAGATCCCCGCGGTTTGCCAAACTAGCTGAAACTTCTGCAGCCCGCGGGCTGTGGCGCCCCTCCCCCGAGGCGCCCCCTACAGCCTTCAGCGTCCCTTCTTCCATGTTGCTGCCTGGTCCACCCGTATTCGCAGAGGGGGGAAGGGCCACCCGTGTGCTATGCACCTGTCTCCGTGTCCCCTACTGGGAGGGTTCCGTTTCTTCCACCTTGAAGGGACTGGTCGCATCTCTGAGGAGATCGGGACTGTGTGTGTGTGTGTGGCTTTTTGTTTTTTTGAGTCAGTCTCCCTCTGTCGCCCAGGCTGGAGTGCAGTGGCATGCCGACGGTAGCCTCGACCTCCTGGGCTCAGGTGATCCTCCCGCCTCAGCTTTCCGAGGAGCTGGGACCACAGGCTACAGGTGCGGGCCGCCAGCCTGGCTAATTTTTCTATTTTTTTGGAGATGAAGTCTTGCTGGGTTACCCAGGCTGGTCTCCGATTCCTGGCCCCAAGCGTTACTCCCACCCTGAGCCGTCACTCTCGCCCTGTACTGGCACTTTGTATTTCTCCGGGGAGAGGTGGAAAATATCCCTGAGCCCCAGATCTCGTCACCAGTGTGCCGTTTTCTAGCTGTTGCTCGTCTGAGGTCCTCCGGGGCCACACCTCACCCCTTGGCCCAAGAATGAGCCAGGAAGCTGCGGCCGACCCCTGCCCCCTGGTCACGGCTCTGCAGCCCCAATCCCTCGCCCGCCCCCCCAACGGGCTCCAGGGTCTCTGCTCAGGTCCAGGCACAATGGCTCATTTCCACATGGGGGCGGCAAGTGACGGTCACTCGCCCCTGGGCCATCCCCCTAGCCTCTGGTTCAGGTTTAGTTTGACCTATCCCGGGGATCAGGCCACAGCTCCCGTTACCAGCCCTGGCCCACTGCCTTGTGCCCTGGTTCTTCTTCCGCCACCCCAGCGGTGGCCTGACACCCCCTCCCCCACATAGCTGGCGCCGCCCATTCCCCATTCAGGTCTCTGGCTAACCGCACGCATCCTCTGAGAATTTGGCCTAGCCTGGGACCCTCCAAAGACCCGGGAGGACCCACGGCCCCTGCAAATCCCCGAAGTTGTTTTAAATGTGTGCTTGGGGGGAGGGTGTTCCTGTGAGAAGCGAGGGACACAGTTCTGGCCTCTGGGATACCCCGCGGCTGCTGATGGGGGGGCCGTTCTCGCTCCACGTTCGCCCACGCCTGGAGCCCCCTCTGGCGGGGAGAAAAGTGGATGTGGGGGTTGGAGACGGGCAGTTTTTTTTAAGGATAAGAACCGTGCGGGGGAGGGGAGGGCGGTGGCGGGCGGCACGGCCCGACTGGGGAGCCCCTGGGAGGGGCGCACGGGAGCGAATGCCTAGTCCCTGGGGCGCGAACCGCAGCGGCTTCGCGTCCAAGCCCTCGCTGGCGTGGGGGATGGGGAGGCCCGGGGGCGCGTGCGCTCCCCCGGCCCAGCAGCCACCTGGGCT